GTTGTCGCGTGAGCGAGGACGTCGCACGAACGCCGACGTCGGGCCCACAGCCGTCAGATTTCGCATGCTCAGACGCTGCAGAGGGTGGTGGAATTTCGGACGACTGGGCTCCACACCAACGCCACCGCGGCGACGAGCAGCGACGTAAATCTTCGCCCGACTGAAGTCCATCGTGGAGCTGGGTCGAATAAGCGGTGGAGAGTCGCCAGAGGCACGTTTGCCACGGCTCTCGTTGTCCGAGTGGGTTCCCGAGTAGGCCGGAGGGAGCATGCGAGCCTTTTTAAGAGGCACGACGGAGCCGTAATCGATAGCTGGGTGGAAGGACGCAGAAGCAGGACTGTACTTGCGAACCTGACGCATGGAGACCTCGAGTTTGGGTGCGTATGTCAGGACAATATTGTATTCGGCGTCGTTGTTTGCATTCGTCTTGAGTGCCAGCGACTTTATGAAGAAGCCCGTCTCGTTGAGTCGCTGTGTGAGGATGTTTAAGTCATCTGAGTGCAGCTGTTTAATGTGTATTTCTTCGCCCTCTTGAACGACACTGCAGGTGAGGCCAAGGACAACACGATCGAGCAGAGTGAGTCTACGGTGCGACTCGTGTTTGTGGTGGCTCGAACGTCGGCTATCGCCACCAGCCTCACCGACAGAATCATTGAGGGTTCTGGGCGGTCTGCCTGAGAATCTGTCCCGTTTTTTGCGTTGGTGGGGCACAAATGTTGGATCAGGCGACTTGTAAGCAGACGCCCGGCTGTAATACTTTGCTGCGCCGGAAAAAGCATTTGAGGAATCAGAGGAAGAGCTTCGAGTTCGCGGGGAACAGGCGCTCTCCACTCTTGACGTACGAGTGTTACTACCTAGCGAAGTATTCGATTGGCGTTTTCTCTTGAAGAGAATAGAGTGGGAGCGTTTCTTGGGTTCTGCAGCTGCTTCAGCTGCGAAAGCGCCCTTTTGTGAGAGTTGGTCCAAGGTTAAGTCATCTACCTTACTGGCTAATGGGTTATCTGCTTCAGACGAAGGCACTTCGGAACGAGGCGAACTGGGAAGCTGGCGTTCTCGCTTAACGTCTTCTTCTACCTCCTTTTCCGCTTCATTTCCATAGGCCTCGTCCATTTCATCTTCGTCTGATTCATGACTAGAAGCGGGTTGACGGCGTTTACGGCTCTGAAGCTCAACACGTTGCAGCTTCTTCTCACTAGGACCCCCATAGCAGAATTTCCAGTCAATATGGTGACGTATATCAACAGAACGTCGAGGTCTCGTTGTCATGGGGGTGTGCATAAAAATCGGCTTGGTAGATTCATGTTTTTGACAAGATGACTTCCGGGGACGACCACGCTTAGCTTCAGTCTTTGTTTTCAGCATATACGAAGCCTGCGATTTGGCTTGAGCAAGTTTCTTGGCTGCTGCTTTGGTAGCACGATCCCGAACACGCTTTTCCGTTCGAGAAAATCTTGCGAAACGAACTGGAATTTCGACATTTGGACTGACCATATCTGAAAATCGTCTTGGCCGGGGATTCGGACGAAGTCGGCCAATAGTACCTCTTTTGATTTGCTGATGCTTTTCTTCTCTGCGTTTACGAATGGCCTCCCGCACTCCTGGACGAACAATGTTACCGGCAGCAAGAAAGGCATCTTTTTTATCCAACTCCTCATTTATTATAGCTTGATCAGCAGCCAATTTGTCAAAAAGGTTTTGTAGCTTCGGATCGCCAAACACATACAAAGCGTTTTCCTTTTCCTTTTCAATAAGCTCGCGATGTGGTAATTTTGTTAGCAAAAACTGGCGTTTTGAAGAGAAGACAGTACCAGTAGATCCTATTTCGTCTAGCACTTCCTGGAGAACATCATCGAAAAAGCGAAAGACAGCAGCATGAGCAGATGGAAGCCCGGCTAAGCAGCGAAGCGCAGACTTTCCACTGGGTGGTAATGTGCACTTGACAGATTCTTGCAAATGGGAATTGAAATCACCTGATTTAAGAGGCGATAAACTCTCAGCAGGAGTTGTATTCTCTGAGGTAATCTCTGTTGAATCCAATGGGGGCAAAAGATCACCAGTTTTCGTAGGGGTGGCTACCACCAAAGCCTCTTTATCTGAAGAAGTGCATGTTTTTTCACCAGTTATACTCGAAGCATTTATGACATTTGAAGCGGGCTCAGATAAAGCTGACAGAGTGGACTTGTGGTGAGATTCCAATTTACACACTGAATCAGATGAATTCAAAGATGGAGCTACATCGCTAGTGTGCCTTTTCGATTTTGTGCTTGAAGCATCCACCTCTTTCGAAACTCGCTTCTTGCTCTTTCTTAAAAGACCCAAAGAAGCAACCACAGATTTCGATTTACCTCTATTTCTAGAAATACGGGAATCACAGAAATAAATCGAACTTACCTAGTGAGCATATTCGTTATTTATTGTGCAATTATCTAAAACATTTAAAAAGAAGAAGTAAACACAAGGTATACAAAAACGAAACTCAAACTACCATAGGGGGGACATCATTACACTACACGGAAGTACAAAAAAACTAGGATCTATCACTTTCATTGAAAAAAGCAAATCCAGTGAAAAAACTATCAGAATTAGTTTCAATAAATTATTAAGCATAACATATGAAAAGCTTTCTGTAAAGAAACGTGATTTTTACTCAAATCCGTTAACAGGGAGGGAAAATTATAAATTATAAAGTATCACGAAATTTCGTGGGCGCAGGATCCATAAATTGCCATAAAATGCAAAATCAACTTTTCTTTACGCAAAATATTCCACTGGGTGTAATTTCTTAAGCTGAAAATCGATCATGCATCCAAATTTAAAAGCGAAACTCACACGAACCCTGCGCCTTTAACTCGACCTACCTAGTCTTAAGACCTATTGGCAAAACTGCTAAATATTTGTTAAAAGTGTACGTTAAAACAAATTTTTCAATGACGTTTATTATAAGTTGATTGCAACTAAGGTGCGATTAGTTTCAGGTATGTTAAATGTCATTTTCACTTTTAAAATTTTTTAAATTAAAAGTAATTTAGTTAGATATTAATAAGCAAGAATCAAAGTTTCTTTCAGGGATGGATTTCTCTCGAAAAATTCAAATATTCAAGATATTTTTGATAAGCAGGAAGCACGTACCTGTGGATGCAGGCATTCTTATTAAATATATCGCAAAGTAACGTTTATCTTATTATATGAATACTTAGGACCAAAAATATACTAAATTCCACGTATCTAAATGAATTTTTCTAGATGTACAGACGTACTGCATGTGCGTAACATATTGTCAAGATATATAAATTGTTATCTGAAAAAAATTCTTTTTATGTGCATTGCAGTATTGTCAACTGCAGTGATTGTGTATATTTGTGCCGGTAGCAACAAAATTATTTTTTTATCAAACTGTGAAAAGGAAATTGATTTACTGTCCACATACCTGGACATCCTATTCTCTTTCTGACGATGCATTGCCATAATTACTCACACATTATCAAATTATGACAATCATATTCATAAATTATCGTTAAACTTGAAGATGTTCCTGTGTCCATCAGTCAACCAAATGTTGAATGAATTCTTCTATATTTTTGCTCAATAGCTCTATCTTAGAAATCCGAGCTAAAAAGATACTCTATTAGTAGTGTATTAGTTTATTTGCCCGTTTTTTTTAATATTGTGATGAATAACCGTTAAAAGGAACACAATTTCATACCCGTTGATTTTAGGATTTGAAGTGAATTAAATGCTGCGTGAATTTATAGAATCCATTAAAACATTTAATGTCAATTGCTTGGATTTATTTTAGATGCAAACAATGTTGCAAGCGTGTAAATTGGAAGCAATTACTCTGGCTTTATTCTTCAGTACTAGCGGCAACAAGGTTTTTTGGACATTTATTTCTTATCAATTTTAATTCATTCTGAATCAGGGAGATTAATTGCTGGATTCGGTAAGTTTTTCATTGAATCCGGAAAATTAGCTATATGCTTACATATTATTTAGTATGTTGATAAATGAAATAGGCAACTTTAACTACAGATCTCAATCTTCGAATTTTACATGCTTACATTTTTATAACACCTCCTAACTGGGAATAAGATCTGGGTGGCTTTACTAACCTTAAGTTGGCCTTAGTTCTTTGAGTTTATCGGCTGTTTTCGTTTTGTGATAATTGACACTAAATATGAAATTTATAGGGTAATCTTATAATTTAACAATGACTATCAAAATTTCATATAATTCTTGAAATGCTCGTTTGTCTAACATCAGTTTTGTAAGCCAACGTCTGAAAATTCTCAGTCCAAGAGTAGTGCAAATAGAGGCATTAGGTCGACGATTGTGCAACTAAGATAAGCGAGAATCGAAGTCCAAAAAGATTGTGGGTTAAATCGTAATCTGTTTAGTTAGTGTTAAGGTACCGTAATGAGTTCGATCGTTAAAATTTAGGAATGAAATACCGCAATCGACAGCCCCAAAACTAGGTACCCAAGTGAAAGTATTCCACAACGTAAAAGCCACTTGTGCTTTTTATTTCATTTAATACGATTAAGTACAACTTTTTACCCTCTGATAATCCATTAAACGCGGAAATAATAAATTTACTATATTTTACTGTATAGCACATAATGTAATTAGCTTGAAAATCATCCGTGGCTAAAAGACATAAAAATTCTGACATATCTTGTGCAGGAATATTTTTGAGTTGACCTCAAATATAAATCAATAACTCTGTCTAATATTGAGCTGTCCTTGCAGCCTGCGTCTATAAATTTAAAAATTTATTTATGTAAATGAAAAACCTATTACAGCATTACTTTTTCTAGTTATCAATTTGTAATTTTGTTTCTCACACCAATATAGCTGACAGCAATTGAAACCCTAATGGAATATGCAAAATTATGATATAAGAGTGGATAGATTTTACTAATCATTTACGACACAGCCTGCGATTAGATAGACACGATCACTACATCCGTGACAAAATTACAAGTAAAAACAGCTAAAGAATCAGTAACTCACGTAACATAACCATGGAATTACTAGAAAAAATACAAACTGAATGTTAACCAATAGTATTTAGGTTGGATAACGTCAGAGACTCGAAGGTTGTAAATAACTCCTGCATAGGCAGTGGTGGAATAAACAAACAGCAAAACGTTAATTCTGGATAGATTTAATAGTTGTTATTCTAAACAACAAATAACATGACAATTAGAGGAGTATCTAGTAAATGCTAAACAGGGAATGCATGCAACAAACACAATCGCGTACCGCTATTTGTGACTTTCTATGGTGTCAGAACAAACCAATGCAGTAAAACAAATCGTTATAAGGATATAACATGAAAAAATGTTACAAAGGTTTAAATTACTCACATTCCGCAAAGTGGACGCAGATAGACTAATTACAGGAAGACTGATCAACAGTAATCTAAATATGGGTCACTAATAAAGGTTTACACTGAATGCATTTAAACGCAACCGCTCTCTTTTTGTTTTCTTAAGACAGCGGCTTGAATGAGTTAAACAAAGAGCATGAAAATCGAGCATTTGTGTTCATAGAGTAATACATACCTGGTAAAAGAATTAGCAAAGATTAGCATCCGCTACGATAACCTGCTAATGTTTAAAAAGCTATCTGCTCGATTTTGACTTATGGTAAATTTAACGATCCTAGTTTAACAACCAGCCCGCTTTTCAAACTTTGGCGTTTGTTGGAATGAGTCGGGCATTTTACATCCGTGAGAATTTAAAGATTTATTATTTGAGCAAAACCAATGGAAGTTACATCACATTAGTATAGCAAAATGTAATGGTTTGTCAAATTCATATATTGTGCGTTATTCAGACCATTTTAAACCGCTTTTGAAAGTAGTACCTGATGCATTTCTCTGATGGAAAGGCGCTAGATGCCATAGACCACGGTAGAGTCTTTGATGCAGACACAGGCCTTAAGATTAATAAAGGAATTTCACGAAAAAACCTTTTAGTAAAATTTTTTGTGAGCACAGTTACTTTGGACAAAATGCCTAATGAAACCCTCTAAGGTCGGGTGACTTTGCAGACACGGTCAATTATAGCCAGCTGATGCTATTTTAGCCCGAAGGCAAAATAGAAATTTCGTGGAGACTGTGAAGAGCTCGCAGAGAACCTCATGATTCACAACCACAACTATTTGATGGTAACTACGGTCCTCAAAATGCAAGTCATAAATCAGCATAATTGTACAAATACATTTGCAGTTTAATGAATAATATAAATAAACGTGACCTGTGTATGTCGTGCCATGAAAACTGGACCATTAAGGCTCTACTAGCAGTTCATGATCGTTCAAGAATTTTGTCCTTACGGAGATACCGATTTTTGATCCGCCGATGTGAAAACTAGGACAAATAAGCCATCTGAGGAAATCCTCAAGTCACACTAAATACCCCTGCTAAGGCAAATGTCGTCAACTTGAGGGAAAATTGAAGATGTCTAGCAATCAATATTCGACCATCAAAGTTATCGGAACATTATCATCGCAAAACCGACGTGACACGAAAACTCATTTATCGTAATGGCTGTAAAAAGTTTCAAGAAACATTTCGGATTTACCAAAACCATGAGTGAATTCTAAAGTTGACAAATCAATGTTTTCTTCAAAAAACTGTTTGACTTTGCATGAATAAAAATGGTCACGCTAAGGAACGTCTCAAGCACTCAGGTAAATGATAGCATCAATCAGAACTTTTAGTTCTACACCCAGATAAACCAATTGGAACCTGTGATGTCGTAATATTTCCTTGGTATTAAAAAGTGTGGAATGAAAAAGGACACCCTCGATTATTTTGAAATTCGAATGTATATTCTCTGGTTCTTAGTGTCGGAGCCATGGCCATTACGTCTGATTTTTATGGGTACCACGTCTGCTATGTCAAACGTTTCGTCAGTCAGCATTCAAATCACAGCCTATTTGTATGGGATTCCTTAGGACTGATTCGGTCAGATGCATTATAATTTAAGGAAAATAAACGTCAAAGACAAATGAAAAAGATAAAATTCTTAATCCATGGCATTCAATTCGATTTCCCAAAAGATAAATTGACATTCGATAGTAGACTTGAAATTTTCGTTAAAGAAACGGTAGCTGTAAAAATATTTAGACGTCAAAGTTCTCTCCAGCTTTAAACAATTCTGTATGCGTGTGCTAGCACCTGATATTTGTTACTAAGGCAATGAACTTCAGCAATAAAAATAAAGTTTTACGCATCACAGTAATATTATTTTCCCCGAAAATTGTTTCATGTTTGTTTTAATACTTCATTATTACCCACATGGAAAGCCTTAATTGGCAGACTAAAATGTTGCCATTTTATAATGTCAACAAATACAAAGTATTAAAAAACTGCCTTGTTAATCTTGATGGTAATTTCATTCATACTGATTTATAGGACGGATTGTAACTGGCAAAATATCACTTTAACTCTGTGTCATTTTATCCAAGAGATAAGATTGCATGCTTTAAAATTCCTAAAGGGTATGCAGTAAGCCAAACGTAAAAGGTCTTCTGAGTACTTTGTTTTTTTGCGCATGCTCCAAGCTAGAAAAGGCGTTTGACTTAACAGGATGTTAAGTATAAAATCCCATTTCCAGAAAAGTCTTCAAGGTGTGTGCCTCATGGAGGAAAAAATCATATTCATAGAAATGACAATTTTCAGACAAATTCAAGCATTGGCACATTCAAAATAGTTTTGATTGAAGTAACATTACAATAGCACAGTTTAGATAAAGACCGCATATTGGTTCGTAAAATGAATTCTCTTTTAACCAAAGCTCAGTCAGCACAAATTTCGCGTCTTTTTGAAAAAGGCTTAATTCCATAGACATTAGTTATTAACAAGTGAGCAAAATTACCAATTTATATATTAGGACTTAAAATTAATCCGTTTCTGAAAAAATTTATTAATCGTTATTTAAGTTATTTTTGTGGGTCATGCAAATTATTGATATCAGTGACGTCAATGATATTAATGAATTGTCACGAATAAATTCATCGAAGTAAAATAACAAGCATATTCACTAGAAAAGTGAAATCACATAAAATTAGGTTCTTACAGAGCTTACCTTGCGGTTATGGACATGCTACTCAGTCATTTCAATAGGATTTTCGATGTCAAATGACGATAAAAAGAAGATTTGCTCATCTCCTAATAATCTGTTAACAATCGAAAAATCAAAAACCATTGATGACATTATGTTAATTCTTTTTAATATCGTAAATAAATATGTATGCCACAATTAAAGACCTACAAGATTGTTTAAATTTATCAAAATATTCTAGTTTCTGGAGTTATACTCATTTAAGAGTGCAATTTGAGGGGAATGGATATTCCAGATTTGGAAAAATGTATGGAATGTGCAGCAAAGATCTCTACATCTGTGGAAGAATATGAATTTCTTATAAATCTTTCTAAATGTCTCAATAAAAAATCTGGGGAATCACCAGACAGTGCAGAAGTTAACTTGCTTAAAGATCAGGATTTGCTTGTGATTGAAGCTCTAGCAAAAGAACAGAAGATTATATTATCATCCCAAGCAACATTAGACTGGTACGCGCATAAGCCTGGTATACAATGTAATACACCAACCTTTCGAATTTTCGAAAATTTTCATGTTTTCTTACCTTTATTTAAAGTTGTCTGAAGAGCTGTGTTCAATAGGTTTGACCTCACTTCCAATAGTATTATTTGTTTCTAACAAAGATATCGAAATTTTTAGGTATATCAATTATTACGTTGTGTAGAAAGTAGCAATCAATTGCTGCTTAAATGAATATTTAATTCAGTTAGAATAAGACGTTGTTGTTGTTGTTAACAGAAATAGCCATGCTCAGTCGTTGCGGGCGTTAAGCGTTTTTATTCTTCTGATTTATGTAAATTTTGCCGTAAACCTATTTATCTTTTTACTAAAAATTCTTATTTAATGCATAATTTCAGAATGGGAGAGATTTATATACTTATTATAGCCTTAATTGCTGGAAGGCGTTTACTTTTCATTAACCTGATATGAAATATCATGATTCCTTTGTATAATGGAATGAATTTTTTTCTAAATTCGAATACGTTACGGGGCATCAACAGTCGACGCTTTTGTGGGTCTGTAAGATTCACTATTTTCTTACAACTTGATTTTTCCACCCTTTAACACATTCGCGGATTTTAGCAATTTCCTTTTTTCAGGTTTGTTTTCTATCTATTTTGCCGGCGATACGATCACAACAGTGCCCATCCGCCCAAAACGTCACCCAGCGTTGCAACGATCAATTTCAACAAACCATGGCGTTCTATCTCAACTGAAGAAGAGAAGACATTTTCAGTGCGCATAGGAAGCACTGCCGAATCAATTATATCATGGTATATCTCTTCTAGAATGGCTTCTTCCTGAGCAAATGTAGTTGTAAATCAGTCCTATTTATTTACTTGAGGTTACTGACGCGGCCGATAACTGAGCAAACTCTACGCACATATTCATCTGCTATTCAAATTGGTACGTGGTACATTTTCATACTGTCTTGTACATAGTTATAAATCAGATGATTAATTTAACATCACTTATTGATGCTTTCCACGGACAATATAATATTTTTTCAAAAAAACCCCTGTTTAAAATGTAAATTTTCGTGCAAACTATTATTTTTCTTTAGCATTTTTCCCAATGTGAAAAACATTTACGTGAATTTAATGGTAAAAGAACTCACGAAAGAAAATTAATCAACTAATGATAGCGCTTATATTTTCTAACTGGAGCAGCTTTGAATTGTTAGTTGTGTGTTCACAGCTCAGGGCACCCCAGCACCACGAAAACCCCTAATTTCTCAAGCTTTGCGGTGGTTGGCTCGTCGATTAAAAGAAAGTGACCTTGACTTCTCTGCTGGATCCCCATTGGCCAGAGGTCGAGTCGGGTCCCTGGATGGAATTTCGTTGGCTGGCGACCTTCAACCCATCAACGAAGACGAATGTGACGAAAAAAGGAGCACAGAAACCACCGTGGCAAGCGAAAACGGAGTTGCGGGAACACGGAGTAACGACGATACCCCATTGGACCGTCTGGAAGCCGCTATTGAGGTGATGTCTACTTTTAGACAGGGTCGCCATTCATGGGATTTGGAGTAGCTTTTCGTGTGTCCTCTCTCCTGTGACATGACTTATTTTTTTAAATATCCCTTGTTTTACTAGGTAGTGTAAATGTAAAGAGGCTAACTCAATTACCCGATGTTGGCACACCACAAAATGGCGTTTATTTAAACCGAGAATGTAAGGTGAAGTGTTGTGCTGATGCAGCAAGTGGTGACGTTCTGGTTGCGCATTTCCACGTCATTACAAATTGTTGTCTTTCGATCTGATGCTCGCCAACAATTCTGCCAATGTCTTATGTCAAAAGACCACCGCTAATGATGCTATCTTCACAGAGGACGTATCATCCATTGTCCTTGGACGCAAATCACAGATGTGTGGAGTACAGGTGTGCAAATAGTGCTGGTAAAACCACTGTCGATTTTTCAAATGGATTTAGCGTCAAATTGGTGAATCGGTGCCAATACCAACGCCCTCCCTACATCATCATCACACAACAACTTGTACACTGACAGGTGGAGTAGATTAAAAAGGAAGCCAATTTTGTCAATTAGAGTCTGCGCTGTCAATTTAATCCGAAGTACATCGGCACTTGTTAATGCTTAATCCCATAAATAATGAATTTATTCCACGTCACAAACGGATCATAAAATTAGACTATTAAAATGGTAATTATCGACAAGTGAGCCTGGCACTTTTGTACAGATTTTTGTATTTTGTTCAATTAATCAAATTCCATGGTACTTATTTTGCCACCATAAATGGCCAATCACGTGAGATAAACGGGCGTGGCTCCGTGCGAACGCGAGCCAATGAAATCGACTGCTGCTGCTGATGCTCTCGCCTTCCTCGACCTCTAACGAGACTTTTTTCACTGTGCATTGCCTCTTTCTTTATGTATGCAGGAACTCATCTTGGTGTGCATAAGCGATCCCTCGGAGGAGATAAGGCAACTGGCCCATAAACGTCTTCAAACCTACTTTAAAGGCCTTCCGCTTCAATTGGGGGCTTTCTTTTGCTACCGTTGGACCGAGGTAAGTGTCCCTGCCAAGGTCGCTCTCTGATTCGCTGCCGAGAGTTTGGCGGTTGATTTGAGTGTGGATTCATTTAAACTGTCTACTTCCTGTTACGTTTTGTTACTCATCGAAATGCCCGGGGCATAAATTGTTTTGGAAGCGTTACTAGCAACTGTGACCTTGATGATTTAAGTACACTGTCTACTAAAGTGCTCGGTTGGACCCGGAATCTGGTCAAAAGTGCGAGCAATGCCTATCTGTGACCCCTATCTGGTTGTCATCGCCGTGCACTTTTGAGCATACTAGAACGCACTTATTTCAGGTGAACATAACGATAATTATGTTTAGATAAAAGCACTTGACCTTGAAGGCAAAATCGTTGTTTAAGTGAACAGGTAGCGCGTAGCGAATAACAAATGTTGCGGTGACGTTCCTTTAATCTTTATCCTGAACAAATTCGGATGCGTCTGAGCACGTGAAAATCATGTCCAATTGCTGTTAGCTTACGACGATTTTAAAGAGAACGCAGTTGCCGCAAGTCGTTAGACAGCACCTCTAGCCAGTAAAACCAGTTATTTTTGTGTGGAAGTCTCGTTTTAACAATAAACAAACTCCCTCGTCTAGTTCGCTTCGCATTCAATGGTCTAAATCTTTCACCCTTCCGAAAATTGCTATAATCGGTGGATATTTCATGTATTTCTGTTTGTCCTTAATACTTTCACGACAAGGTAACGAATTGGTCTTTTAGATTTATCGTCAAACACCGCCAATTTATTGGACTCGGCAAGAAGGTTTACTAAAGCGTAAGTTATAACCTCATAGATTAACCTATCTTAGTGAACACGTCATAACGAATCACGAAATCCTTTCTTTCTCGCCAAATCCCACCGAATTCACCTTGTGCGCTGGTTAAGGATTAGTTCAGACTGACCAAATTATCTCCTGGATTAACCGCGATATTATCTACGTTCCAGTTATCCAGTTGTTTGTGGACGATCTGCGCGCCCACTCGAATGAGACAGCGCAAGAGGAGAAGCCCAACTCACAGCTCTTCAAACAACGCCTCTCCATGGCCTTCAGCACAGCTTTAAACAAGCGCCCCTCTGCTGAGGACGTTTCTCGCACCAATGAGAATCCAAATGCCCCATTAACTGTAAATTGGTCTAATGTTTAAATGCACCACTAGTAGACCGGGGGACATTTGATTTGGCCAAAGTTGAAGGTCGCTCCACATAACACGGGGGATTTAAACAAGGTGAAATTAATTATTTGGATTCGTGAGTCGTGGTTTGATGTCAGTTTGCAATATTTACACCCGCCAATCTATCCTTCTAGACGTTTAATGTGCCATGAAGTTTAATCTGATCCTGTCTCTCCGGTTTGCACCAGAGGTTCCAAAAAAGCACCAAAGTGTACCTCTTTCTTCCAATTCGTGTGACAACGAGGAATGTTGTGTTCGGTGGCTTCCATAACTTATAAGAAGGAAAGGTGGCAGGGATCTTCATCCATGAAAGCATGAGTAACAACAATTTCTGACACCCTGTCCACCTGATTCCAAAGTGTAGTTCATGACTATCACGCAGGCTATTGGTGTTTCCTGGAGCATATCCATGGATAGGTCTTTCAAACACCAATTCAAATGTGAGTCTAGAGTTGAAGATCCTTCCACACTTTTCCGATGATTGTTCATGAATGAACTGGAGTGTCAGCTAGATGTTGACGCTTCGTGCAGTGAACTTTACCACATTGCCCCCCCCCCCCCCAACACGTCAAAACGATCCCATCGTTGTTTGTTGGACGCACAAATGTGATTGGTGCGGGTTGCATGGAAACTCTTAATTGACCTGTCACCTGTGGATTTAATTGGTGCATTAATTTGTTCTCTCGGAGACGCCCTGTCTAGACGATCTTGCACTCACGTTGTGTGAGGTGCGTTCTGGGCACATCAGCACTCACTACTTACCGTTTCACCTCTTTTAAACAACATCGTCATTACTGTAGAGTCGAGAACAACGTACTTCGGGCACAAGAATTCCACGTTCCGCTGAACTATCGTGCGCTCATTCGGTGCCAGCTACGGTTTATGCGTTTTTTTTGCCAAAGTCAACAACTAGTAATCTTTTATCTCCGCTCTGCAACTAAATTAACGCTGAATTATTGTTTTTGTTAATTTTACGGCATTCAGTGGGCAACGTCATGGTTACAACTTGTTGCCTTACCTGTCACGTTTGAATAGCAAGAATGCTGCAATCAGTGGTCACATGGAACGTGAGACCATGCGTGAGAAAAAACACGTGAAATTTTTGCGAATGGTTTTTGCCATTTTCTATCAAAATGGAAAACGCGACCAATTAATGCCGTGTCAAAAATTTCACCTTTTCCAATTAGGTGTCATTTGAAGCGCGCGGCTGTGTTTAGGGTGCGAAATTTGGCAAACTAGGAAACCGGTGGAAATAATTGCGCCACCCCAGCAAGTTGTTGCCAGATTGTGCAAAGCGTTTAGCGTAAGCGCATGTGAGTACAACTCACGATCCTGGAGTTTGGCATTTGACGCTGAAGGCATTCGCCTACGCACGTTGGATGAAGCCAACATGATCCTAGCAATGTTGACACGCGTCAGGATCGCGTAACCAGCACGTTTGATGCTGAGGCTTCAAAACGACTTCTAATCTAAGCTTTCTTTTGTAGCCAGCTGAAGAGGAGAATCTGAAGAGGGCTTTGCTGCCGAAGGTGCGGAGCCTTACCCTGAGTATGCTTTCCAATCATCGAATCCCAATTCGCCAGATTGCAGTGTCCATCTACTCAACCTGTGTCTCATTTATGCATCCTGAAGTGAGTTGATTGAACTTGTTACGTTCAGAGGTCGACCAAGAATCAAACACGACTCAAGGCATGAGGACCGAGTTCCACGTGGTGCCTAGGGTCACTTAGCTACCGACTGAAACCGTTAGCACATCCAAACTGAGAACGACCAATAAGATGGTGCGAGGTCAATATGAATGCGAGAAATGGTGGGTATGGACGATTCAAAATTAGAAAAACATGTTTAATACCAACAATTGTAGCATTGTTTTTATTCACCTATCGGTTTAGTGCCTCTAGGTTTGCCTAATCATTTCTTTTAGAATCAGGCAAAAATTTTGGAAAACGCTGTCCGAACCCTGGATGGCGACATCTCCTCGCGCATGGAGGAAATCGTAAACGCAAGTTGCCATGTCATTATACCCTTTTAAAGACAGACGTTTGATTGCGTGGCAAATTTAGTATAAATGTTGTTAATGATACATTTTAGAATTCAGCGAATATGCAGCCGAAATTGAGTCAATATTTGCTAGAAAGTTTGACAGCCGTCGGCGCGAAGATTACCACGGTAAGTGCGAAAATTGGCAACTTATTCACACCTCGAATTTCCGTCCCCCAATAGAAATCCCTCAAGTCAGTCTATTAGCCAATATTAATGAAGTGGATTATTGGAATATGATCGATTGGTTGTCCCCGATACCTGAACGAACCAATGAGCTCAGTTAAACGCAGACAAAATCCTTAGCTGAAATGTCAAACAGGATGATGTCAGTTTTGCAAAATTAATCAGATGGAGTTTGCTTTTCCGTCAAAGTGTTCTCACGGTATTTCACTAAGACGAGAAAGCAAGGGTAACAATAGCCAGTTTACTTTGATGTTAAGCTGGCTGCCATCGGAACGAATGACTCAGCCAAAGAATTTGGGCGTTCACGCTGTAGATACACAAGCAAGCAAGTAGCTCTGAGTACATTTCGAATTTGGCGGCAGTGAAGTCAAGGTCATGTAAGTGTCAGCAAAGGCTCGCTTAGAGAACCACACCAAGTTTTCTCCGCGAAGGAGTACCACTCTTCGCGGGATGTTCACGTGACCAACTGACATTTCCCATGTTTTCTCATGCTTGTAAGTTTTGTTTATCACTTGAGTGAGTGTGTGTGTGTGTTGTTTGAAATCCCACACAATTCCTGCTTTCATCTCCGAGTGATTTGAAGACGCAAACAAGGCTAAAAATAAATCTGTCTGCCCGATCGCATAACCTCGTAAACAACGCGAAGGAGTTGTCACTGTTTAAATTGGTCTCGCGACATTACTTGCAGTTTTGCAAAATCGGGCATAAATATTTGATGTCCCTAAGTTCAAGATTGTCTCAACAGAACGTCTTTGAGTATAGGTTAAATGCATAAATGAAATCCACACGGCTACGAATGCCAATGTAGCGTTAGTCCGAACCGTTGGATGACGTCGTCTTGATGTGGAAAGAACGATAAGGCATAGAGACAAGGTTGTAAGGTCCACAGCACGAAGCTGAAGCTCAATTTCATCCACGAACATTCAATTGACTTATGTGAAGGGGCCTTCAAACGCGGTAGGCTTGTATTCTTCCCTGGCATGGAAATACCAGGGTGTTTGGCATGAAAGTAAACGCTGATGTTTGTTACTGCATAATCGCTGTGGCATGCTATCATGTAGTTAGGCGGTTCCTCAGACTACACTTCCTTTCTAGATATCAGCAAAAGCAAACTGTCAGGTGAACTGGCTACACGTTGTGACGCTTTGCGAGACCCTTCTAAGTCATCCATCGCCGCGCGTTCGCGATGCGTCCACAGACTTCCTCGTTGCGATTCGTAAGTCCACGCAATTTGTGACGTTGACTTTCCGTAGAAGCCACTAACGCCACACTTCCGGACCACAAATAACCCCCAATATATAGAAAACTATCATTTTGTTTTAATTTGCCTTCATATTTGCCAGACTTGAGGTTACAGTACCTGTGACAGCCAGCTCAGGTACTCATTGTTCAATCAGCGTCCTGACTTATGTTTTGGGGAGCTGGTTTAAGTGGATGTGACTGCCAAGATGGTGGGCTGAGATGTTGAAATTGAAATCGATATCTTGTAGTCAAATGGGGGAGAACATTTCTTGGTCCGTTCATGATGCATCTTTAATCTCCACGCCAGCCTATTAGGCACGCGTACCTTTAAAGGAGAGCCAATCAGAAGCAACCCTATTAATGGACAATCGAATCCCATGAGTGAATTTCCGTGTCTGCTGCAAATAACACCTTGTGTTGTAAATAATTGCAGTCCTTCGACACAAGAACTCACCTGTCATGGCTCGCGCCATTGTGACGGTTGTGGCGCAGGCCTGGTCCTCACGACAGGATCTTCTCTTCAAACCACTCAAACACCTGCCGAAGTTGCCTGAATTGAGTCCCGATTACGAAGGTAATGCTTTCCCACGAACTCCTCTCAGCCCCTCAAAATGGAAGTTGACTCATGACTCGTTGACCTTGTAGACGCTGCAAAGGAATGCAAGAGTGCTTGGCGTTCTGGTCATCTTCTGGCATTCCTCAAGATCTGCGGAAGCCTCTTGAACGAGTACCACCAGAAGCCATCCACTTCGTGTAAGCAGCATTCTTCGGTGATGTTCACAAATACACTGCACCCCAGCCATGCCTCGATCAGCATTGTAATCATCATGCATCAACGTACACAAACTGTGCTAGCCAATAGCCGGTCGAAGGTGCTTGTTTAAACCAGTTAAGGAGATGGAATTAAGTTTCTGGTGTTACCAAGTGTACAGATTAAAGCTGAGTTTAAGGCATCCACTTATTTTAGTTGTTGATAAGATGAACCAATCACCAAACCGTGTCACAACTGTCAACTAGTCTTTTTTGGTCATGTGATCCAGTTTGTAGTGCCTGTTAACAGTTAAACTCCACACAATAACACACAAGTTACATTCATGCGTGATTTCTTGGTAGCAGGAAATGTGTCACGCTAGGGCCGAAGCTCGTGCATGATTCCCAAACGGCCGACTCTAAATACACTCCCACTTTTTTTCAGTGCGTCCAAGAAAGTCGATTTTCCAGCCACTGCTTGATCCGTTTGTCAATGCTTCTGGCAGGAAGTTCTCGATAGCAGGACAGGTACTTAAATCTGCTTGATTGCTCTGCTTTTGTCTGATGGACTAAGTAAATTGCTTCATCTAAGCCCTCAACCCTGGCTAGGTTTTACCGATTTTTCCTCTTTGATAGAAACAACTCAACGGGCTCCTATCTCTAGGCGGCAGCAGGTTGGTTTTTTTTATGGATTGAACACATTAACCTTACTTATTCATCTGATTAACAAAATCTCACACGCTTTTTGCGTGTTCAGATCAGCTGATCTCAACGACTCAACTGCGCTTATTACGCGCATAAAGCATCTGGAAGCCACAGAGGTACGGAAATCCCATTTTATTGCTCATATTGCATATCATTCGCATTCGCCACCTCAACCTCCACGTTTTGTACATCAATTTTCGATAGATTTGTTTGCTTCGTTTGAAATAGCGTCAACTGAGTGTCTATTAAGTTAAACAACTCCTCTGAATGGACTCACGCTGATTCGATTTCTGCATTCTTCCCATTGCCAGCTGCAACAGGTAGTGTGGAACGTCAAGTCTGCGACATTTTTAGCAGGTAAGATCTTTGTTTCCGAGCAAAAGACATCCTCATGTCCCTTTAGAAAGCAAACATAGGAACTCTAGGACAAAGAGCTCGCCAGGAGTCCTTCTGGGTGCTCTGAGCGAGCTGGGCCTCCGTGGAGGCCCCACAGCTTCCAAGTCCTTTTCGTCCACCGCCTGCTTCCCCAACTCGGCCTGCAACAGTGGCTATGGATTTCGGACGTGTTTGACAATTGCGCTTCATGCTGCTGTCGAGTGCACCTGTGACCCCAGTTCTGAGATCAGACACCTGGCAGTTCAGGTCAGCGACAAGTTTCTTGTTGACATTGATGCAGGGCTAGCAAGTAGTTTTACTTGAAGGTAGATTTAAATCATTATTCTAGGCCTGCTCCTCTCGTTTGTTGCTTGTAAAGATGTTCAGTTATTGTTAAGTTCCGTACCTCCAATTAATTGACTGTCCATTTTCCTGATTGGTCAAAAACGCTTCACTATTCTGATTGGCTGTCATGGGCGCAACAAGCGATTGGGGCTTTGGGTTGCACCTGTTCTCAGGCTGATTATAGGGGCCATCAGAATTGCTAATATCGGAAATCTTTATTGTCTAGACGCTGTCACAGGTTGGTCAGGTGATTGGCCTGTTCGACCACACCCTCCTGGTGAATATTATGATTACCCACATGAGTTTTGAGCCCACACTTCTCACCTTCGGCTGTCTCGAGATTCTACTGAATATTCTCACCAACTTGAAGACAGGCAAGGTTAGTTTGATAGATTGGGTTAATAAAAAATATTTGGTTAAATTTGATTAGTTCACCTGTGTCCTCTCTCCCGTCGTCTGAGAGTCTAATCAGTAAGCGGAATCGTCGGTGGATTTTACTTTTAGCCTGCATTGGAAAGACATTACGTGTAATTTCCGTTGTAAGCGTTAGTTTAAAGTCGATTTTAGCATAGGGTGAATAAAACCATCACTGGAGAAGCCGCCGAAAACTATCATAGATGAGACCATGCAACACCAGATGCTGGTGAAATCTAACACAGAATGTTGTGAATCGTGTTTATTCACACCCCTTAATCCGGTCGCTGCACCTCCGACACAGGGTTCCCCTTTTTCGCAGCATGTCGCCAGCCGCGCGGATCCTCAACTCCCCCTTAATTAACACGAACACTTATCCTGGGTTATCCCCGCACCTAGGTCTCGATGTTAGCGAATCTATGACTCACACATTTGAGGTATAAATACACACGCGCAAACCTCACACACGACACAACGACACCAACGTGGTTGAGCTGTGAAGTTAACGGTTGTGGCCACGTCGTCCTCCCCTATCTTTTTCTTCATCGCGGGTATTAGGGAAACGTAATCGGGCCAGGGTTAATTCCGTGGCCCCTGCGTGGTTCAAGACCACATACTGGGGTCCGCAACAAAATCATGATGTCAATTGATGTGATTACAGCGGTATCGTGTGCTTTGAGGTGGTCAACCTTAGACATCCTTCAAGCGAAAGGATGTTCGACTTATCGAGATTACACTCTTCAGAACTAAAATCTCATTGGTGGAGAATTCCTGAGAAGGTCGTCTACGATGACGAAAGCAGTTCGCTTTATGGTGGAGAAGAACAAACGTGCTTGTGGACACCAGGGACAATTTGTTAAAGAAATGGATGTTATTCCAACCGCAGAATCGATGGATAACTCACATCATCACCATGAAATTCCTGAATCGAACGTATAAGTCTCCGTTGAACTCAATGAAATCTGGTGTCCAGTTTTGCACATTGAAAATCTTTAACCTTCGTGAATACTGTTTCGAACAACCTATAATTCAATAAGATGGTGCATAGCACTGGCCACGAAAGTTCCTGGACGGCTCTTGATAGGGACAAATGAGATTCTATGGTCAATTTCTGTGTTTTTGATTTCTTAAAGATCGAAGACTCAAGTCAAGAGGATGTGTCCGTCAAAAGCGCCAAGCCGGTCAACCTCCTTCCAGGCAACTTGCTTCAGGGACTTCTGAACGTTGAGCGTTCCCGCGTGTGGCTGCGCACTTGCGAGCACTACATCTCCTCGCGAGACGTGTTCGACGCGGTGACGCTGGATGCCGTGCAGATTGTGATGTGCGCGCTCACCTCTGTCCATCAGCTTGGTCCGCTGACCGTGAAGTTGTCTCGGGCGAAGATTTCGACAGTGAGTGAGGAAGTGGACCAGGGCTTCGAAGACGCCTCGGATTTTGAAGTCGACGGTCAGTTAGACCTCGATGCTGACGCCCTGGTAAGGAATCCGTCTTAAGGGTTTCGCAAACAACACACATGAAATCCTAATCCGTGTTTTTGTACAGGTCGATGCAGTTGGCAGCCTGGTTTCGGTGATTCAGCGACTGACAGCTATAGTTAAGACCGCGATTAGTCCACGAGGCAAAAGTTTGCCGGAAATCGGATGGCTTTCAGAATCACCCACGAGGCAAGTTGACGATTGGTTGTTTAACGTTGCCTATCTGTCACGAATGTGTGTCACTAACCAATGGTGTTGCTTTCTCGTTTTGTGTCTTCAGACTACGCAGACGCTCCGATGGCTCAATTTACATGGCCCCAGTGGATGAAATGTCGCTGGAATTCACATACCTCGTCTTGCGACGCATCGAGATCCCTCTACAGGCCTACGTCTGCGGGTCCTCCCAAGTCCTCTCTTGCACCCCACGTCATCTCCTTCCGATCAATATCGAGGTTGTGGGAGTGGCCTTGTCCAAGCTCGTTACGCCATTGGCTACTTTCGCCTTTGAGATGTTCATGCCGGAGTTGATGAAGACGCGACGAGAAAGCAATGTGGCCTTCTCCACCTACACCAGCACCCTCAAGGAGAAAAGCATGATGTCCATCTTAAACATGTACACACTTTGATTGGCTGCACTTCGCTGTAGCATTTCCACCAATACAACTGATTTGTGCGCTTAGGCATTTACGCCTCCAGCAGGATCAAGCTGTAGATAATTTACTTCAATTTAATAATGTGGCAGTGACGTAAAGTGTGTTTTATTTGTGCCAGTCAAATCCGATTACAATAAAAACGCGTTTATGTGGCTTTAAAACGTCTATACCACCTCTTCGGTTTTTTAGCCTTGGAATAATTTCGCAGTGCTTGCCCAAGACCGCTGTTCTCGACTTCAACACAGACCAAGTGCTCGATTCATCCGGACACTCAAGCAATTTCTCGTCCACCTCGTCAGCTATGAGCAGAAATCTGTGCTCAACTATGACCAGCAAGCTGGAGGTGCAGATCATGGCGACGGCACAAATGCAGGCCACTTGCGACAAATTCACCGAGGTTGTCACGGATATCTTCAATTTTGCCGTAAGTACAAGATTCTTCCGCAGAATTGCGCGTCACGATTTATTGGTCAAGTTGACAAGGCGACGAATTTGATTGGCTGGCTGCGCTCTTGGGTGATGATTGGTGGCTTTTGACACCATGTAGTACACGGTCAAGGGGATTGTGGGCCTTGATACAAAGATTTTTATACTTAGTAGTATGCAAAATGCGTTCTAACGTGGTCCATCTGGAGAAGTCCTGTGAGTCTGGTAGTTATGGCGAAGTCTTCTTCAGCCCCCATTCAGGAATTGCGGACTCCACTCACCTTAACCTTTCATCGCGGTTTGTTGCGGGCCCCAGTATGTGGTCTTGAACCACGCGGGGGCCACGGAATTAACCCTGGCCCGATTACGTTTCCATAATACCCGCGATGAAGAAAAAGATAGGGGAGGACGACGTGGCCACAACCGTTAACTTCACAGCTCAACCACGTTGGTGT